GTAGAATGTGGCAGCCACTATGGTAAACAGTATGGAGGCTCCTATAGAAATTAAAAATAGAATCACTATATGTCCCAGCAGTTCCTCTTCTGAGTCTATACCCAAAGAAGATGAGATCGACCTTGTAAAGATGTCTGCATTCCTGTGTTCACTGAGGCATTATTCACGGTAGCTAAGACATGGAAACAACCTAAGTGTCTGTAGATGGACAAATAGATAAAGAAAATGTTGAACACACACACACAAAATACATGAAATATTAGCCTTAAAAAAGAGTGGGATCCTTCCATTTACCACAACATAGATGGATCTGGAAGACATTATGTGGAGTGAAATAAGCCAACAAAAAAGAAAAATATCATGTGATTTTAAAAAGAGGTCAAATATATAGAGATAGTATAAAACAGTGGTTACCAAGGGTGGGGTGGGGAAAGGAAATGGAGAGATGTAGGTCAAAGGAAACAAAGTAGCAGATACGTAGAATGGATTAGTCTGGAAATCCGATGTATAACAGGAGCGCTATAGTTTTAAAATATCAGAGATTTTAGCAGTTCTTGTCAAAAAAGTAACTATGGAAGATAATAGATATGTTAATATGCTTTATTAGAGTAACTATTTGACTATAGATGAGAGAGACCCCTCAAAAACGAAATTGTCTTTTGAAGGGTGGTCCTCTTGTAGTACACTCAGGTTTGTTCCTTTGGACCAGTCAACCAAAGTTTTTATCTGGATGTTTTGAGAAGGTTGCCTCACAATTTGCAGAAGAAACATCCCGAGTTAGGACAAACAGGTGACTGATTCTTCCACCATGACAATACAACTGCCTACACTGCACTGAGTTATCAGTAATTTCTGACAAAAATGGCATGATCCTCATGGCCCACCCTCCCTGTCCACCAGATCTCACCCTGAGCGACTTATATTTTATTTTTTAAGATGTGGGGTACAAGTTGGGATTGGATACATAAGTGGTTTATGTATAGGTGACGTTTAGATTCCATTGGACCTCACTTCACCTGGATTAGGATCAGGCATGCTTATTGATGTTAAGTACCTCCCCTCTGCCTCCCCTGGCAGCGTTCCCCTACTACCAATCCCTTTCTTGTAGTATTATGCTAGATGCTCAGGGCCTGCTTAAGCAATAGATCACTGAGTATGACAGACTCTAAATCCATCTAAGTTGCTGTGAAGTTCATAATTTTGTTCTTCATTATGGCTGTATAGTAATCCATTGTGCACATATACCACTTTTTTTTGTACAGTCCACTTTTGATGGGCAGCATGTTTGGTTCCAAGTTTTTGCTATTGAGAATAGTGCTTCAACAAACATGTGTGCACGGGTATCTTTTTTGTAGAATGATTTGAGTTACTCTGGGTATATTCCCAGAAGGGGGATTGCTGGGTTGTATGGAAAGTCAGTTTCCAGTTCTTTAAAAAATTATCACACTGTTTTCCATAGAGGTTAAACTAGTTTGCACTCCCATCAACAGTGTGGAAGTGTTCCCTTTTCCCTATATCCTTGCCAGCATCTGCTGTTTTTTGTTTTATTAATGATGATCATCCTTACTGGAGTTAGGTGATATCTCAATGTGGTTTTGATTTGCATTTCTCTGATGATTAGTGAGAGGGAGCGTTTCTTTTCGTGTGTCTGTTGGTTGTTTGCATGTCTTCTTTTAAGAGGTGGCTATTCATGTCTTTTGCCCACAATTTTCTTTTTCTTTTTTTAAAGCAGGATTTATTAAGAGGACAGAAAAGCTTCCACAGTGGGAGAGGACCCAAAGGGGTTGCCCTGCCCACTTTTTAATGGGATTGTTAGTTTTTTTCCTTTCAGCACGTTTGAGTTCCTTATAGATCTTGGATGTTAGGCCTTTGTCATATACACAGTTGGTAAATATTTTCCCCCATTTTGTGGATTCTCTGCTCTCTTGATGGTTTCTTCGACTTTTTCATTTGTTGGTTTCCCTGGATAAAAAAGTCCTCAAAGGGAAACATTTTGCCGATGTGAAAGAAGTAAAACAAAAAACAGCAGAAGCACTAAAAGGTATAAAAATTGATGAGTTCAAAAACTGTTTTGAGCAGTGAAAAAAGCATCTCAATAGGTGTATTGCATCAAACAGGGAGTACTTTGAAGGTGACTAAAGTTTAAACATGTAAGAGTAAATACATAATTTTTTATAAATAAATTCCATTCTTTTGGGGTCCCCCTAATTAAATGTATTTTATATCATGTTGTAAACCTCAAATATACACAACAAAACTTACTTTATAAAAGAAATTATTATTTCATATGAGCTTTGCGCAAACATAGGTTTCTAAATTCTCTTTAGTAAGATAATATAGCCTATGAGCATTGGCTCTACTAACTTCTAAGTGTATCACGCAGAGAGATATATAAATACATTTCTCTCCCCTTTCTAGTATTGTACATATAATAAAATCATACAGAATACTTTTTTCAAAAACACTTTCACACTATGACAAAATTCTTAGGTGAAAATAACTTCATTGCCAGGTGTGGCGCACGCTTAAAACCCCAGCACTTTGGGAGGTGGAGACTAGAGGATTGCGTGAGTCCAGAAGTTCAAGACCAGCCTGGGCAACTTGGTGAGACTTTGTCGCTACAATAAATAAAAAAAATTAGCTGGATGTGGTGGTATGTACCTGTAGTTCCAGCTGCTCAGAAGGCTGAGGCAGAAGATCACCTGAGCCCAGCAGGTCAAGGGTGCAGTGACTGTGAGTGTGCCTCTGCACTCCAGCCTGGATGACAGAGTGAGATGCTGACTCAAAAAAAAAAAAAAAAAAAAATTACTTCATTAGTCAGGGCTGCATCTTCACATACAGTTATAAATCTCATGGGTTTGTAGGGATCTCCCACTGGGATCACTTTTTTCAAACTTATCTTTAACTTCAAGATTTTGTTTTTATTTCTTTTACATCATATATTAAAGTAGGAAAATATGAGACCCTTATGAATCTGGATTTAGACTGAGAAAGCGAACACAACATTTCTGTAGAATCAAAGTTGTAGTGTAGGTACATATAGATCTTGCTTTAGGGAAGGAATGCCCAAATGTACACCAGGTGGAAAGAACTTAACATTCTCTTTGTAGAAGTATGGTTGGAGGACTGCAATTGCCGTGGAGGCTAAATCTCAGGAGGAATGGCCAGATTCTTTTAGGGAGCTGCTTCTGTTTTTGTGCCTAGACCATCTGCTGACAGCTCTAAACCCATGGCAGCTGACTGCAATTCCTGTTGATACGTGAAAGGCAATTAACATCTGCTATCTCCATTTCTTCTTCTTCTATCAGGATTGAACTTGGAGCAGGTGTGGGAAAAATCCCCTGGAAGTTGTAAATGAGTCTGCTTCTGGGCTAAACGTGTGGACACTTCATTCTTTCCTAAGGCCTTCCTTGGGATAGAGAGAATCCGACAAGAACCAAACACTCTGCTTATGTATCCACATTCCAGGAAGAAATGCCAGAAATTTCAGGCTCAGATTTAAATCTTTGTTTGTAATAGTTTTCTTTCCTTGTGATACAATTTCCTCTTAATTAATCAAGAGGGATTTTGTCTCTGCATTGTTGGCACTTAGTCAACATTATCAGATGCTGCTGAACTCTGAAAATACATCAGACAGATTCCTAGATAGAGAATTAACTAATTCCCCAAATTGTTTTAATCATAGGAGATAAATAACCCACATGACAAAAAACTAACATTAACTTTTTTTCAAAACAAATGTCTCACTATCAGAAGTAATTAACATTTATAACTTTTTTAATGCTCTTACACAGCTGTTTTCGATTAGTAAGTTTAATTGCATGTCACAATTGGAGGAAAAGATATAGTTTTAAAGTCCTAATAGAACTGATGAATGAGAAATATGGTCTTACTTTAAAAAATTATTCATTGCTGAGCTCCAGGCACTTTTACATGGTTTAATACACAGCAAAGATGGTTCTCTTTCTGTCCATATGACCTGTCTTTTCAGTTATTCTTTAAAAATATTGCATTTCAATCTTTGTTTTGAGAGTTGAAAAAGTATCTTTGTCTACATGAACCCAAAGGCCAGCTAAGGAAGGCTGTGTTATTAAAAAACAAAGAAGGGGGTGTGTGCTTCTGATTGCATTCATTTATTTTGTCTTTAAATTTTTTTGCATTCATTTATTTTGTCTTTTTAAGCAAAATATTTGAAAAGATTTATTCTAATAATAATTTCTAAAATTCAATGTGTGTGCAGGTATTTAAATTTATTTTTGAAATGATTGGACCAAAATTCTGACTATCATCTTGTAAATTAACATTACTTGTTTATACAAGTAATTCCAACCTGGGACTAGACACAATGAGCCTCTAATCATCTGAACCTTGGTCCAGTCCCCACAATTTGAACTTCAATGTTCTCATCTGGAAAAGGAAGTTTAGATAAGATTATCTAAGGTCTATCTGTAACGAGTTGAAGAAAAAAAAAAAAAGCAACTTAGGATCTTTGCTAACTAGTATGAAAGCAGGCATAAACTTTGAATCAGACAGATCTGAGTTTGAATCTCAGATATTATTCATTGCAGGAAGTTGGGTTTTATTTTACTTAGCTATATAATGGAACTAATTATCAGCTGTACTGAGGGTGCTGAGGTTTACATGGGAACAAGCCTGTAATGTTCCTAGCACAATTTGTACACATACTGTAGGTGCCTATAAATGGTAGGACCATATTAAGGTCAAGAAAGACATAGGACTGAATACCATGACTTGATCCAGTAATTTCTACTCTGGCCCTTGGAGAAGAAAGGGAGTGAGCATGTCACTGTCCTTTGCCAGCAGAGATGTCCCTCTGCTGTGATGAAACTGTAGCTGTCAGGATTTAAAAAAAGAACATCATCAGAGCAAAGGCACCATATCTTGGCAAGGAATGCTTTACATAGTTTCCACCGTCATCAAGCTGTCCTACCCCCCACCCCCACTCGGCTTCTATTTAAATCGCAGACAGTCCTCTGGACCACACTCATTTTAGCCAGTGCCCAGATTACCAGCAGAGAAGAGACAGGTGGGTAGCATGGCTCCGGGAGAAAAGGAGAGGGAGGAGAGCCCAGCCAAGAGCGCCCTCCGAAAGGTACGCACGGCCACCCTCGTCATCAGCTTGGCCCGGGGTTGGCAGCAATGGGCGAATGAGAATAGCACCAGGCAGGCCCAGGAGCCAGCAGGCTGGCTGCCCGGAGGGACCCAGGACCTACCTCAACCTCCTACAACAGTCCTAAGTCCCACTCTTCACCAGAAAGCTCAGAGTGCCCCAAAGTCTCCATCCCAAAAGCCAGAGGGACATGGAGATGGACAAAGCTCAGAGGAGGCCCCTGAGGTTTCCCACATCAAAAGGAAAGAGGTGACCAAAACAGTGGTCAGTAAGGCTTATGAGAAAGGAGGGGACGTGAACCACCTCAGTCACAGGTATGAGAAGGACGGTGGCATGCCTGAACCTGGGCAGCTGGAGAGTGACATTGACAGAATCCTCCAGGGCCATGGCTCCCCGACTCGGAGGAGAAGATGCGCCAACCTGGTGTCTGAGCTGACCAAGGGCTGGAAAGTGATGGAACAGGAGGAACCCAAGTGGAGAAGCGACAGCGTAGACACAGAAGACAGCGGCTACGGAGGAGATGCTGAAGAGAGGCCTGAACAGGATGGAGTACAGGTGGCCCCCACCAGGATCAAGCGTCCCTTGCCCTCCCAGTAAGTTAACACATCTTCCTACTCCTGTCCCAGGATCACACTGAGCCCCAACTAGCTCTGGGAAACCAGAAAGCCAGGGATGTCTTACTAAAGTTAGAATGAGGATTGCAAACATTAGGCAGGCCATAAGGACCACAGCAGAGGCATGTCCTTAGGCTGGAAGGGCAGTGCCAACATCAGGCATGGACCCGTGATCAGGGCCTGCTTCTGTTATTTGAACTGAATGCCCAAGTTTTAGCCCCAACAAAGATGAAGCCATCAGAAAGGATGTCTGGGGTGAATTCTTTAAGTTCATTTTATAATAAGCAACAAACTGGTGCGCTTCTTTGAGAGACCAGTGCTTTCTGATAGGCTGATTAGGGAAATTTTTTTTTAAAAGATATGGGGTGCAATTCAGAATTAGGTATACAAGTGGACATCATACAGGTAAAGTGTGGGTCTCCCTTTGGTCCCCACTTTCCTGGTTTGAGATCAGGTACCCTTATTGATGTTGATATTGTGTTCCCACTCCCACCCTGGCAGTATTCCATTACTGCCAATCTCTTTCTTATAGTATCTTATGGGATAGTAAATGGTTAGGGTCTGGGAAACTTTTATCTTGCCCCTGATGTCTATAATATTATCAGAAGATATGTCTGCTTAAACAGAACCTATGGAACACAGATCTCTATAACTCCATAAACAGATGAAAGACTGCTCTCTAATTAGAGAGCAGGCTCTTAAGTCAGAGAGACCCAGGTTCAAATCTCAGGTCTGTACCAAACTAGTTCTTTTTCTAAGCTGACTTCCCTGTTTGTAAAATGACTGCAACAGTAAGCTTTTGAGAGACGTTATTTTGGATTGAGAAAAGTAAAAAATAAAAGCACCAAGCACCGTGCTTGCCACAGACATTCAACACATGAAAACTACTACTCATATAGATTCTATTATTTAGCAGCTTTTTGAACTTTCAAGAAGAGGTCTGTCCTATTTGTAAACAAAGACAAATAATTAAAATATCATAATCCTAGAACATTTAGATGTTAAGTACACATACACAGAATCAAACTGAAACATTTGTTTTAAGACAGTAACTCCTCATAGCAGAAAGTCGGGATATCTCACTCCACAACTTCAGGGCATCAAAATATAGGAAAAGTCTCTGATGTCATAATTCTTATACACTGACTCCTTTTAGGAACAGTTGGATGTACAAATGTGCTATTCAAAGCCTTTTGGAACAATAATAAAATTAAGAACAAAACTGGTTACGTAATTTGGCAAAGAGCTATCTTTTAGTTTTAAATTTAAAGGGGTTTTGAAAGAAGTAGAACTACTACATTGCAAGCTTTCAAGAAAAAAATGAAGTGACAAATTTAGGTAATTATAACAATCTGTCATACATTTAGTGTGTGCTGAGTGTTTAAATGCTTTGTCTTTTCAATCTTAACAATTCTATAATGTAGATATTAACTCATTTCAGGGATGAGAACGCATTAGTTCCAAGAAAAAGTTTACTCAGCAAGGTAGTGCAAAGGTGAGACTTGCCCTACTCAAAATGCAGTGTTTTGAAAGTAGGTATAGTACTAACACCTATTAATATAAAAATATTGGGAAACTTGTATGAGATTTTACAGCCCACAGGATTTGAACTCAAACATTCTGGCCCTGAATCTCATCCTCTGACTAAACTGTCTCCCCTTAAAATAGAACCTGGATGCAGGACCCTGCTCAGCGTTCCTGAAATCAGGCAGGTAAATGGGCACCTTAGTGTGTTGATGTGCAAAAGCTTTGAATGAGAGACAATTGGGTTTGAATCATGGTTACTTTGGAGATCCTGAGTATCTCTGTGCCTCATCTATAAATGGATGTGATAATTAGTATTTCGTGGAGTTTTTTTAATATTAACTATGTCAAGCATTGGACACAGGGGAGTGAATTAGTAAGTTGAAACCATAATAATGCAAGGAGTTAGGACTGGTGATCCCAACCCTTCAAGATGCTGGGAGATTGGCTGTCTAGGTTGGGGAATAGTGGTAGTTGTTAAATCTCTTCTTCCCTTCTTTGCTTCCTGTTCCTCAGTCTTAGAGTACGTGGGGTACCAGAATGTTGTACACAGCAACAGAAGTTCTTAATGTCAGTGGTAATCCTAGCTGTGCTCAGGAAACTTCAGCAGAAGCCTAATGTGACTTTTTGCCTGATGGGACTCTCAAATACTGTTTTAGGAATGAGTGCCATTATTGAGTAAGCCAATCTGAAAGGCCTTTTTGTTCACTTATTTTTAACTACAGGTACCATTCTCTCTCTGTTATCTGCCAATAGAGAGAGAATAATGTATTATGGATGTTTAAGTAGAAAGAAGAAGTTTCTTAGTAGTTAAGATATTCCATGGATAATAGAAACAAATCAAGTGTTATGGAAAAATAGATAATTTCTTTACCTATTATAGTGTTTTTCCTAACTGGGGTTTTACTATGAAAATGGTTTATGTTTTGTCTTATTTTTAAAATATTTAGTCTTTTGATTGTATATGACTTTTTGGGTTCAGTCCCTCTAGACAAAGGCAATTTGATTTCTCTCCCAGAGAGTAAAGGTCCAAGATTAAAGCACCAATCACTCACCCACCCAGTCCTCCAAATTCTTTTTTTTTTTTTTGAGTTGGAGTCTCACTCCAACGCCCAGGCTGGAGTGCCGTGGCACACTCACGGCCACACCAGCATCGACCTGCTGAACTACGGTGATTTTTCCATCTCAGCCTCCCAAGTAGCTGGAACTACAGGCATGCACTACCATGCCCGCCTGGCTAATTTTTTGTCTGTTGTAGAGATGAGGGCTTGCCAAGTTGCCCGGACTGGTCTCAAACCCCCAGGTTCAGGCAATCCACTTGCCTCAGCCTCCCAAAGTGCTGGGATTGCAGACTGAGCCACCGAACCCCAGCTGGTCCTCCAAATTCTAGTCAGTAAAATTAATGGTAGTTGAGCATGAGATGCCATCTTATAGATAAGGAAACTGGCACACAGAGATGCTAAAAAAAATATCCAAAGCACAGGATGAGTAAGTGGTGAAGTTGGGGGCTGATGTCAGAGCCTGCATTCTTAACCACTATGCTAGACTACTTTCAGTAGAGAATACACTCAAGGAATAAAATGGAGATCAAAGAGTTAGCTTAATTAACAAAATCCCCAAAACTCCCAAAGTTCAGGATTTGGATGCAACTGTATTGAAGGGCTTCACAAGAAATGAAGCAAAGGTATGGCCTCCTACTGCCTACCCCTAATTCTAGAGTTGGGAAGCCTTTCCATAGACTCATTTCAATTTGTGAGGAGAATCACAGCCCTGGCTCTTAAACCGAGTTGATAACAGGACAGATGGCATAACCTCTAATCACAAATTTTCAGGTTGCCTTTAAAAAATTAGAATCAGGTGTGCATGCGAAGATTTGTCACATAGGTATATTGTGTGATGGTGAGCCTTATCCCAATGACATTGAGTTCCAACACTCAGGGAATCTAAGTTCCTAATTAAAAATTAAAAGGAAATGAAAACTACATCTAAGAATCAGAAACCCATATAATACACAGTTTAAACAAATTACCTCTGGATGCTAATTTGAGTATGTATCTTTTGTTTGCTTCCTTTAAGTTATAAAATTAATATAGTACCAACATGACAGAGAATTTTGAAAAAATTCAACTGTCACCTGGAGATTAACATATTATTTTCCTTTTCTTTTTCATTTCTTTTTTTTTTTTTTGAGTCGGAGTCTCACTCTGTTGCCCAGACTGGAGTGCAGTGGCCACTACTGGCCACCGCAGCCTCGACCTGCTGGGCTCCGGCGATCCTTCCACCTCAGCCTTCCAAGTAGCTGGAACTACAGGCGCATGCTACCATACCCGGCTAATTTTTTTGATTTATTGTAGAGATGAGGTCTCACCAAGTTGCCCAGGTGGGTCTCGAACCTGTGGGCTCAGGCAATCCACTCACCTCAGCCTCCCAAGTTGCGGGATTACAGGCTGAGCCACCGAACCCTGCTAACATATTATTTTCAACTGAGCATAGCTATTGAATTCTTCAGCATAGCGCATATACATTTTATAGCATTACAATTGTACCATAAACTCAAATTTGTATTGCTCTGAGTATTCTTATAAATGTTATTAGTGATTATGTACTGTTTTTTCATTATTTAAGATCCAGTAAGTACCTAAAACAATGCCTGGTATACAGTAGGTGTTACAAATAATTTAATAAAATATGGAAGGAATGTGAAAGCACCCAGAAGCTTCTTAAAGCCAGGATGTATTATGACTTACACAGTAGGACAGAGCCATAGCTGGTACTCAGGAGACAAAGTATGAATTAATGACTTGCACTACTCAATTTCTTCAGAGATATTTCAAGTCTCTTATCTGGCAGGATGTCCCAGCCTGGAGTCTGGCATGAGATCTGAGTTCTACCAAGATGGCCTTGGGCTGGCTGATTATACCTGTCATTGATGAGCATACCTCCAAAAGAACAGGGGCTTTCTCTTCTTTGGTAATTAGATTGGAAAGCCCAAGCTGTGGGCAGCTGAACAAGGATAGTCGGTGGGGAGGCAGGTGACAGTGAGGACAAGCAGGGCAGAGAAGTCCATTCCACCTCAGGGTGGTGCAGCTCTTAGCACTGTTTGATACATATGTGATTTTTTAAAGTTATAATAATTGTGTATGCGATTTTTGTATGCTGCTTTTTCTCAGTTAACTTTAGTTGCCATGCACTTTTATTCATGTGTCTATAAAGAATACTAGTGTTATATGTAGCTGTGCATTTCCAATTCCAATTCTATTATAAATTACGAATATAGCTGAATGTAGCAAGGGTAGAACTTTTGAAAAAAAACAAAGCATTGGAATTAATGGAAGTTCGCCATCTAGTGGATACCATTTCCTTTTTTTGAAAATGATGTGAATGCAAGTATGTCTTCCTCCTTGTCCATGTCTGTTTGGTTCCGGCATTTAGATAACCAGATTTCAGGAAGTGAGTTTGGATCGAGGGATACTGAAGTCTGATCTGCTCCTGAATTTTGAACAGTAAATTCTGAGGCTAACTCAGGCTGCCAGTCACATAAATAGTTTCAGCATTACTTGAATATCTCCGATCCCAATACTTCAAGTATGACACCACTTGGTGTTGGGGAGAACAGAGGGTTGGTCGCCGATGAGGATGAGTAGTACAAATCTCTTTCAGACCGTTCAAGTTCACATTTTACCTGTGAAGGCAGAGAGACCTAGGGAAAAAGTAAAGGAGTTTGGAGATATAAAAATGTCAGGAGAGTCTTTTAAAGACAAATTTTGCCCATTTTAAAATTAGGCCTGCACCTTCATGACACTACTGGTCTACACTTTGCAAGCCTGGTTTGTTGTTATTTTTTGTTTTGTTTTTCAGTAAGAAAATTCATTCTAAATTCCAGGGTTGCACACATTTAAAACACAGCTAATTTCTCTACTAGGTGCCGAACTTGCCTGCTGAGTGGCATCACTGCATAGTAGAAAGAGCAGTGACCTTAGCCTCAGACAATTTTTTGTTTAAATCCTATCTCTGCCTCTGATTTAGAAGAGTACATCGTAGTAGTTACTTGGAGGCTCTGTAGCCATCTAAATGTTGGTTCAAATTCTAGTTCTACCACTTAATAGTTTTGTCAATTTAAAAAGTTACTTAATCTCTCTGGTCTCAGTTTTCTCCTCTGTGAGGTAGAAAGAATAATGCCTATCCCATGGAATGGTTTTGGGAAATATTAATTAAAAGTGTTTAGAAAAATGCCAGCACATAGTGTTCAGTAAATGTTACGATTGCTAACTAGTGTTTTTTTCAGGACTTGATATTTCAAAGTTTGTGGTACATCATTGATACTATTCTAAATATGCTCTCATTAAAAATCCATATATGAAAATTTATACATGACTAAATATTACAAAGTATGTGTGATGGTATAATCCCCATCTTTGGGAGATAGCTGAATTCAGAGGTCCTATAAGGACTGGATTCCTGAGTACATTTATAGATTCCAGTTCTAAACTGTTACTCACATTTAATATATACATATTTGCATTAACTTTATGTAAGGAAGCTTTAATTTGTTTTAAAATAGAGTTTAATATCATTATCATGCTTAAAACATTACTGTTATTCAGAGAAAATCTAGAAAGACATATACCAGACTAAGGATAATGGTGGGGCTGTGTTTGATTTTTCTTCTTTTAATTCTAGTTTTTTAAAAAAATTTGGGGTCTCACTGTCACTCAGGCTGGAGTGCAGTGGCATGAACACAGCTTACCACAGCCTTGGCCTCCGGGCTCAAGCGATCCTTCCACCTTGGCCTCCTGAGTAGCTGATACTACAGGTGCATCCCACCGTACCTGGCTAATTTATTTTATTTTATTTTCGTACTGACAGGGTCTTGCCATGTTGCCTAGGCTGGTCTTGAACTCTTGGGCTCAAGCAATCTTTCCATCTCAGCCTCCTAAAGTGCTGGGACTATAGGCATGAACCATTGCACTGGCCTTTATTTTTTATAATTAAAAAAATGATAAAGACTTACATTGAGACGCATACGCATGGAAAGCACGAAAGAAAAGCAACACATGGGTGTTCAAATATCAACATCCGACTTCTTCACTCCCTCTCTCCTTTAGGGCAAACCAATTTACAGAGAAACTCAACTGCAAAGCCCAGCGGAGACATAGTCAGGTGGGCAGCTTGAAAGGGAGATGGCAACAGTGGGCTGATGAACACATGCAATCCCAGAAGCTCAACCCCTTCAGTGAGGAATTTGATTACCAGCTGGCCATGTCCACCCGGCTGCACAAGGGAGATGAGGGCTATGGCCGTCCCAAGGAGGGAACCAAAACCGCGGAAAGGGCCAAGCGAGCCGAGGAGCACATCTATCGGGAGATTAAGGACATGTGCTTCATCATCCGCACAATGGCTCGCCACAGGCGCGACGGCAAGATCCAGGTGACTTTCGGAGATCTCTTTGACAGATACGTTCGTATTTCAGATAAAGTTGTGGGCATTCTCATGCGTGCCAGGAAACATGGACTGGTAGACTTCGAAGGAGAGATGCTGTGGCAAGGCCGAGATGACCATGTTGTGATTACTCTGCTGGAGTGAACCTTCAACCACAAAAGCCACACTGGACTCCCTACTGTCTTAATGCTACATGCTAATGTATTTACATTAAAAGGCAAACTCTCTGTATTAAACCATTTTTACATAAATGACTTTCTGGTATTCTCTTTCTATGAGGAAGTTTGAAGATTGAGAGAAAACACATGCAGAGTATTTCAGAAGGCACATGGGATGATTTTAATATACAGTATTAGTATTAATATTTGAAATTCCACGAACTTTTGGGGGGGATTGGGGTCTTCCTGTGTTGCCCAGGCTAGCCCCAAACTCCTGGCCTCAAGCAATCCTTCCATCTTAGTCTGCTGAATAGCTGAAATTATAGGTACAAGCCACAGTGCCCAGCCACTTACCTTTTTTAAGGCAAAATATTTGGCTATTCATTCCAGAAATTATTATAAGACTTTTAATTAAACATTACATCTAAGAATGCAGACTTTTGATAAATATCAGCAGAACATAATATAATGTGTCATTTCTTAGTAAAAAGAAAATTTCATTATGTCTGGTAAAACTAAACTTAAAATTGTCTAATAAGCTTGACTTTGTAGTATTGTTTTTATTATAGTATCACTTACAAAACAGAGAAATAGTATATAAAAAGTTACATTTTCCATATGATGTTGAAATTGTTGAAGTTCCTCTGTGGACTTAGATTCTAGCAGGTTTCCAGTAGGAATTAACCTTCCTTTTGCTGTGTGAGTTGAGCAAATCCCACAAAAACAAACACCACTTGCCATCTTAGTGCCAACAAAGGCAGTTATGTTCACCTTCACTAAGAAAGTAAACCAGAGATAGGACATTCAGATTTACTTGTCTTTGCAGAACTTCCTGAAGTTTATTGTTTTGGTACATGTCAGCATATAATGAGTCATGCTACTTACATTTAAGTCAATGCACAATGGACAAATACAGAAAATTCTATGAAGTGAAACTTTCAGTGTAAGATTCTCATAAAATCATTGGTGAATTAAAAACAAATTTGAGATACTTAATTTTCCTCATGCTGTTAAGAAAACATTACTAAATGTCTGAAAGTCATAAAACAGTAATATTAGTCTTGCCAGTATAAAAAAAGTTATGGTGGCAAGGAGAAAATTATTTGATACTAATGTGTTAGTTGTCAATTTTTTTAATTCAGTGAAAGTTACTAAAATGCATTGATATTACTGTTGTTAAATACAAAAATTAATGTCAAAATATACTTCAAAATAATAAGCATTAAACTCTTATAGAAATTATCTGTTTCCTGCATGATTCTCTTTCAAATGAAAGGTTACAATATCTTCTTAAAGAGAAAATTATCTTTTATTGTAGAAGACGGTTTGAGTTCCTCTGGGTATATTTCCAGAAGGGAGATTTCTGGTTCATATGGAAGGTCGATTTTTAGATCTTTTAGAAATTGCCACACTGTTTTCCACAGAGGTTGTACTAGTTTACACTCCCACCAACAGTGTAGAAGTGTTCCCTTTTCTCCACATCCTCTCCAGCATCTGTTGCTTTTTGAGTTATTAATGATGCCTATCCGATTGGAGTTAGGTGGTGTTTCATTGTGGTTTTGATTTGCATTTCTCTGACAATTAGTGAGGTTGAGCATTTTTTCATGTATCTGTTGGCTGCTTGTATCTTTTCTTTTGAAAGGTGTCTATTTGTGTACTTTGCCCACTTTTAAATAGGGCTGTTTGCTTTTTTCCTATAAGCTCGTTTGAGTTTCTTATAGGTCCTGGATATTAGGCCTTTGTCAAATACATAGTTCGCAAATATATTTTTTCATTCTGTGGGCTGTCTTCCCACACTCTTAATGGTTTCTTTTGCTTTGCAGAAGCTTTTCAGTTTGATGAGGTCCTACTTGTCAGTCTCATCTCTTTTTTTTTTTTTTTTTTGAGTTGGAGTCTCACTCTGTCCCCCAAACTGGAGTGCAGTATTTTTACTATGTATTTGCAGGTCATGACCTAGGATCCAGACACAGAAGTTCAAGTAAGAGGTAATACAGGACTGAAATAGTCAATAATCATTGGTAGAGAAGAGAGGATAGGTTTGAGAAATATTTTGGTGTTAACGTTGGCAGTACAATGAATTTGATTATATGTGGAGCTCTATGAATTGATTTATGTGGAGAAATCCAGATTTTCTAGCTTACGTGAGTGGACTGCTTCCAACTTATACACTTAATAGAGGAAGAGAAGCTTATTTA